TATATATATATATATATATATATATATATATATATATATATATATATATATATATATATATATATATTTAAAAAACTCAATAATTCAGGAGCAAAACACAAAGAAAAATCATATAAGCGTGTCGTGGTTTTATATGTGATAAAAAATCATGTTAATTTACATAAACTTTAGCGTTGATTTTCTCGGTTTAGACAAAGTTTATTTTAAAAATTACTTCGCCAATGAATTCGTATAAGATGAGTCGTTTTTTAAGCCATTTAAAGCACTTGTAGTCGTGTTTTATCACATATAAACACTCCGCTACGCGTCGTGTTTTATATGTGATAAAACACTCCTACGCGTGCTTTAAATAGTACATACATATATACATATATACATATATACATATATACACATATATATATATATATATATATATATATATATATATATATATATATATATATATATATATATATATATATATATATATATATATATATATATATATAGGCTATATATAGGCTATACTAGAACTCATTTGGGACATCCCTGTCTCCATTGCTTAGACCTTTTGGGACATCCCTATATCTCCACTGTTTGGTCGTATATAGACCTCTCCTCTTTAGGAGAGCAAAAGATTCAGGATTTAAGGATGGATTCCGATACGTCAACTGTTTACACTATACACAGCAGTATGAAGAAAGGTTTTAGGGGTGTTTATACTGAACAACTAACAAACAAAAAAATTCCTATAAATTCAGTTACTGGATCAGTATATGGTGAAGATTCTCTGTTAATAAATTTAACAAAATGCTCAAAAAAAGCTAAAGGAGGTATAAACAAGCCAGGAAAGTACTCGCTCAAAGTGGCCAAAAAAGATTGCGGGTACGTTACAAGTCAAATTGTCTCGGATTCATACGTTTCTCAATACAAAGTTTCTACTTTTTTTCTGGATTCAAAGTTTTCGGATATACGGCACAAAAACCGAAATGATTTCGCATGTCGGATTCGTCGCTGCGTGTGTAGGTAGCAACATAAATCCCCTAGCTAGTGCCATTTGTTTAATGTCTCCTTTTGAAAAAATATTTGAAAATTAAAATATTTGACAGACCAATTATATATCCAGTCATGGATTCTAAGACTACGTACACACGGTAACGTTTTCGAGCGTTTTCATTTGCGTTTTCACGCTAAAACGGATGCGAAAACTATTAATTTACGACTGAAGTTGTAGTTTATTTAATATATTGGAGATATTTTCCTTTGAACCACGTGAACAGGGCATCAAAGCGATTAAAGGGACACAAACGTTTTTGAAAACGCTCGAAAACGACGCCCGTGTGCACATAGCCTAAGTGTTTCGGGCTTAAAGTAAAAGAATGTAAGAACAAGAACAAACGTCACAAGGGTAAACAGATGTTTCTAATTTCATTTCAAGGAATCATCAAGCAAACTCAGAAGTTCCAGTTGAATCCAGGAATCATCAAGCAAACTCAGAAGTTCCAGTTGAATCCAGTAGAGCTAACAGTGCCCCTGCTCCCTCCCCTCAGATATTGCTGGCATCTGAATCATCTTCTCGACACATTGTATTCAACACCAGTGTACCTGGGCGTCCTGTGGTGTCTGCTGAACGAGTGATGAGATATGGTCGTCATAGTGGGGACAGCCGTCTCAGAACTTTGCAGACATCAACACGCAATAAAAACAGGAACATCGGACCGAAGAGCATTGTAAGTGTCTGTTCGAATATACTAAAATTCAAAAAATCCCGCCTGCTCTAGTACTCTGTATGAACCTGTGAAAATTGCAAATCACCAAATTTCCAAAATGGTAACGGTCCTGTTACATGAGGTAATCTCTTAGTTGCAGTTTGCAACTCAGCAATGTAATTGTTGAAATCCCTTTGCAAAATACTGTAAAATACCTTTTTTCTCAAATAAGGTAACTATAAATTTGAACATGCATAACATTTGAGACCATTCCTCGTATTATTGTAATGTTAATGTACATTGACAAAGCAAACTTCGTGACCCCATCTCCCCCAGTTCGATGTTGCATGTGAACAGGCCAACACAACTTTTTGTAACCTACCATTACACGTCGACCTCAACATTGAGTTGGGAGTTGGGACAGGGAGCTTATGAAGCGCAACATGGAATTTGTCATTATGGGGTATGCGAAAAGTAGTCTCAACCAGTTATGCCCATGATGGTAGTTGCAGCCTTGCAGGGAAACATGGCTTTAATAGTTAATAGGGTATTGTGAGAACTGTGGGTGGCCAGTTTAAATAGGGTATTGTAAGAACCAGGTCCGCCAGTTTTCCTCACACCAAAATCACCACGATCAAACATAGACCGCATTGCGGCAGCTATGAACGCCCTAGGAAACATTCGGTACAATCACATTTGAGTTGTCTCATTCAACACTCAACTGCTATTCAACACTCAACTGCAATGAAGGATGATTCGCACCACCTAAGGTCCTAACCTTGCTTTACGTAACTAAACTTTACTTTACTTTTTTAGTCTTTAAATGATATAACGTTAAGTGGGCAGAAGATCTCGGCTACTGAACTTAATCATGGCCGAACTTTAAACAATGCCGGTGGTGGTACACCGAACATGACCAGTTCTGCTGCCAATCGTGATCCGACTCTCCTTCATGCAACGATAATCTCCTCGTCACCAGATCCCAACCACTCTCATATTCGAGTTGACGTCTAAATTTAAGTTCCGTTGACACGAGACCACGCGAATTCCGGACCGTGTTAAGATTTGCATGGTTTGCCTTGCTTTCACATGCACAGGACACATTAGAGCTAACGAATTCGTAAAAATTCCCGTGTGAACAAATGGAACTGGAGGAGTTTGCGTACGGTTCAGTCCAAATTCGTACGATCTATGTAGTGTGAACGTAGAGTGTGGTATATTTTACGTTCAATTCTTTCAATAGTTAGAAGGACTAGCCAGTCTTCAGAACCATTCTTGGAGATAAATAGACAGAGAAGAATTAATACAACTCGACACGGCAGTTTTTCTGTCGTATATTTGAAGAAGTATTCAAAACCTAAAATTGTTTTGGCGTATACTTTTCAAACTTACCCTAAAATTACGTTGTATGTGTTTGTGAATTGAACTATACGAGAGACGTTTTTCCCGAGTTGCAAAAAAGCTGTGGATATGTGGGTACCACCGTGAGGAGGTTTATCTCTTGCGAGGTCAGTCAGGAAGGTTTGTGGACACTCTAAACTGAACAATAACACCATAAAACAATAAATGCTACTTGACTATAGGCAGGTTGTGGTAATAATTGGCATGATGCTGATGTGGTGCTGATAACTATAGTACCGATATCACATGACTATCACATTGGAGAATCTTGAGGAGAAACCAATAGAACTGAAAAAAATATTCTGCTTTGTCTTTGCGTTTGGTTTAACAAAAATGACAGCGAATAAGCTATTCAAGCTTACCAAAAACGCAGATAGTTATGTTGTACAACAGTTCGTAACGCTGCCAGTAGCAGCTTTCTGCGGACCGGCGTTCCTATATAAGCAATCGTAACATACATATCTGCTAACACTGACCAGTACTGTTTGTCTGTATGTGATCATGAGTGAAATGCAATCAACTAGCTCAGTGGTCAATGCTGAATATACTAGTCAGTGGGAAACAGGAATATAAGATGCCGATTTTTAAAGACATAATTTATATATTTTGCAATTCAAAAGGGCCATAATTCACATTATTTTGAAGAAGATTTGAAAACTTTGCCCAGAGGAAAGTTGAACAGTTTTTTCAACTCTGCGTCCTCTCTTAAGCATTAGACAATGGCAATTGCAGTTATTACAGTACTTGCTGGAAAATATAGCTTTAATTATATAATGGCCTTCTTCTTCGCAGTTTATTTTAAAATAGATTTGGGAAGACGAAAAAGGATAAATATGTTGAAATTGATGATCCATTCTATCAAAGAACTAGAATTTTAAGAATCAGTTGAAAGTGTTAGAATTTCACAAATTTTATTTTATTTTTATACAACTGACAATGTAAATGTAGAAAGTAATAAATCAAACAGTGAACTTTAAAGAATAATTTGATGCGTGCATGTAGTGTAGCGTTTTGATCAGGAAGTTGCCCTGTTTTGATTTTAATTTCTGTATTCATAACAATGTATTTTAGGCACGGGTACTATTCATAATTAAGCCAGTTCAAGGCACCATACTTCTCACAACGGGAAACGACAAGACGCGGACCCCAGGTCCGTGGACTACCTTCGTGGACCTGGTCCGTGGACTACACTCGTGGACCATTCTCGAGGACCATTCTCGCGGACCACTCGCGAAACACCGGATTTTGCGGGTGGTTTGCATGATTGAATTCTTGACTGTGCGTGGGAAAATGTGCATGAGTCGAGTTCCATCATTATCATCGTGGAAACTCTACACAAAATGTGAAGTTCTAAATCCATTCACTATATGACAGTTCTAAAATATAAGCTGAACAATTACGTCTTTAATGCAAAGTTTCCGAATATATGCCCTTAAAATTGGTAGTATAGTTTTCTTTTGATCGCTCGGCTACAGAAAATGCAAGAAAAACAGTAATCGAGCTTCAAAAATAAATATTTTTGGGAGAGGACCATTCCGGAAAAAAATTTTTAGTCGGGCAAAGTCCGAAAAAGTCGGGCAAATTTCTTTCCGCCCCCCTAAATTTTTCCTTCCGGTACGCCCATGATTGTTGCAACTTGCAATTTGCCCGAGCAATTTGCAAATCAACATTGCAATGTTTTGTCGCAATATTGCACAGTGCGCGCAAAAGAACATCCAGTTTGACTGTAAAAATAGATGCAGGGTATCGCTATAATCCAAGATATAGCGTTTCATCCATTGACATGACCTCTATCGATCAAATTAATCGCTTTGATTAATGATTTAATTGAAAAACAAAATGACGGCTCGCTTTGTACTAATTAAAATACAAACGAGTATACAATTCACTTACTCAAAACAAAAGAAGAAAATGAAGATACACAAAAAGCACTCTCCTAAAGTACTGAACTTTCAATATTTTGAACTTGAGCAATTGTTTCAAGAAACTTTCACTTCAACACCGGCCGGGGGATAGCTATAATTTTGTCATGTATCAATATATTATATATTGAGTTAGTGTTTGGACTATATAACAAATACAAAATCACACGAGCAAATCGTGCAACTAATGATTAACAACTCTTGATCTTTGAAAAATGTGCTATTGTATTCCCTGACGGCGGCTCCCACATTTTCCTCAATCAATAATCAATAAATACATCATTTAATCGATCAATCAATGCACCATTTACTCAATCAATCAATGCATTATTTAACAATCAATAACCAATCAATACATCATTCAACCAATCAAATTCAATCAATTACGAATTCCTCAGTACTCAATACTCTTATCCAGCCTGCGAACAGGCAGGTCGATGGGGACATAAGCCAATTGTAAGTCTTTATCATCGTAGTTTTTTACATATTCAACAAACTTTTCCTGCCAAGCTTTCGCTTTTTCAATTTCCGTTTCATTTGGGTGCTTCTTGATGGCAAAAGTAACGAAGAGTAGACTTGCGTCTCTGTATTTTTTCCTTTCGTACCCGCCCAATACTTGACGCGGGTAAACTGGATCACCGTATAAACTTATACAAGAGAGATGTAGCGCTGTACTATCATCAGTTAGGTATGGATCGCTATAGAAGAGTAAAAAGAAATCAATAAACCTCCGAGTATATATAACTGTAGTAGCTATGTATGGTGATGATATATATGATTATATAATCGAGAAATGGCTTGGTAACCACCGACATTAATAAATTTTTGACAGTGTTCGAGCCCGGGTATCGAACACGTAATTATGACATAAATAACTATAATCTAATTATAAAGCATAAGCAAGATTATTACAGGAAATCTTACTTCATAAGAACAGCCGAACTCTGGAACACTTTGCCATCTCAGGTGAAACAGTGCGAATCCATTCGAACATTCAAGACTGCCATTTATAACTTTTATTCATCTAAGTGTTTGGACTATTGTCCTCCTTAGTATAGTATTACCTACTCATTTATTTATTTATTTATTTAGACTTTATAATTTATTGTTGTTTCTCCGATATTTTTGGAGTTTTATGTAAAGGGGTTCTGTTGCAATTGGGACGCAAGTCCTGTTCAAACTCCTGTCATATACTTATAATTAATGATATTATATATGTAATATATGGCAAATTCATTAAACTAAACTAAACTATATACTAATAAATATTCCGGCGTAGTGTGTCGACACGGTCTGGAAACTAAACAGAAGTACTTGTGTTATTTTTTGCCGCATGTGCAAATTTAAAAGGAAACTGACCAGCGAAAAAAGAAAATGAGGGAGGTCACTATTGTCACGTGAAGAACAAATGGGGTCGGCCTGGAGCAGAGACAAGCAGTGACAGTCGGGATCTTGCGGCTCGATGACCAGCTACGAACGCGTCGATATACAATCACGTGGAAATTAAAAATTATTGGGACACCAAGGTCATTGCCCCCCCCCCCCACTCCTCATACAATGTTATAAACATGATATAGGGAGAGACATTCGGGAGGGGAAACTTACAGAAAGCAAGAAAATGGAGAAAGTCTCATCATTTGCTCCAAGGCGCTGCCTCTCAAAGGGGTTTTTATTTGGGAATTATAAAGGAAAAGGGGGTATATATGTAACACTAACGTATCCAGATTATGGCCGTTCGCAGGTGAGATGCTCGCCAGAGCCGCCGAGAGGCTGCACGTAGCGCGGGACAAACCCCCTTCTCAGCGGGCCTGGTGGTGGCAACAGGTATGTTCTGGGTACAAGATTGCATGGGTTAAGCCGCATTTAACCGTATGTACTTACTCTGTGCATTTTTCAAGATGGTCACCCCAAGAAGCAGTTTTGAAATCATATGGTGAGGAGCATGGTTCACGAGTCAACACTGAGATACATTCATTCAATTTCTTCTCATCATTTTGCCAATATTGAAGCACACTCATTACCATACAGTTATTGTTCGATGAAGATTTTATACAAAAATCTGCAAGAGTTATATTCTCTGAACTAGTATTTGACTTCAAGGACATATTCATCAAATGAGCTTGGACTTTTAAAACCTAAAATAGAAGGCATTAACCAAGTAGGAAGTTAAAACACCACTTCATAATAAGTGTATTTAAATTCGTGCGATATTAGAATTCACGCACACTATCAGTGGCGGCGGAACAGTTTTTATTTCAGCCGCCGAACACTATTTGCAAATTTGAAAACTGAGACTCGGAAATGGCATTCCTCCCTACACTAAAAATTGACGCATAAATTATACAATGCGCTTATTATACACATTCAGTTTATTCTACAAAGCAATACAAACTTTTCCTAATTTCTCATCCAAATTTTCATTCAACTTTTTATCCAAGTTTTACCAAAATTAAATCAATTTGTCCTTGGGCAAATGGGCAATACCCATTAGTCGCTGCAGAAATATTCGTATTAAGGTAATTCCGCAGTTTTGCATTGCGCACTTTTGGTGCGCACATCTTATATTAACTTATAATTTCATCCATTATACGTACCGCTTAACAAAAAAAATCATTTTATGACAATTTTATGTTACTTCAAAACATGTTTGGTTACATTCGTGCAAAGAATTGCGTTAAAATCAATGTTTTCAAAAAAGGCATACAAAAGTGTAGCTAGGGTTCCCTGTGTCTGTAGTATATTTATTTACTTGTATTTCACGTTTTAATGCCACAATTCCCTAAAAAGATCGGTGACCCCCATTTTTTAACTGACAATTTATTTCTTTAATGCATTTTACATTTCATCTCCGAAATTAAAAGAAAAATCATTTCTGGATCTTGAAAAAAAATCCTTTATCAATGTATGTTCTCAAAGAAAGATATGTAAAGAAATGTGGAAAAGACACTTGTGGTTCAGAATTATACACGTTAGTAGTTTCATTTTGCTCAAAAACACAATATTTTTTCAAAACTAATTACAAGATAGGTTTACTAAAGCAAAATCCGCGCGCTAAAAACGTCAATAAATATCGGGCTGTTGTGATTTTGCTGTTACTCGTAATGAGCGTCAAGATGGCGCCATATTGGGGTAAAGGTGGTATATTGTGATCGTCATATCTTCTTAACGAGTTCGGTGACCACGACGTTTTTGTGTGATTTTACTTTAAGTATATCATAAACTCCATGCCTGGGAAGTTTCAGCACATTCTCATTTCGGGAACAATTACTGCGGAATTACCTTAATACGCTAACAGACAGACACACATACAGTACAAAGGTTGTACAAATACATTAAAGTACAAATACATAGCCTCCTCGCGGCAGTCATAACATTCATATACCTTTTGCAGTATACCCAGTCGCAATATAGTGCCGGTAAGTACACAATCCTTCGAAAAGAAATTTTTATAACATGTTCGTTGATTTAACTCACTACCAGGCTGGAGTGAAAAAATAACCTTTGCCGCCAAATACTTGATCGGGAATGGATGCTTACACGACTCCACGCAGTCCTGACAATCACATGCCGTTCTTGTTGAATTGGTGAAGGGATCATGAACTGATTCATTACATAATGTTATGGTCGCATTCATTGGCTTAATGCAAGGCTTCGCTATCACTGGGTAGTTGACCAAGAACGGAGATACGCCATTAAGTTCAGGGTTTCCCATGAAATCTAGGAATTTCAAAGGGGTACATTTTTCAACCGAAGTGCCACACATGAAATTCATGATTTTCTGATGAGAACTTGGAAATACAACATTTTTACAGGAGTTGTACAATCCAGCTCTAAACGCTTCATCGACATAATAGTCTATAGCTATTATAGATTTATTATCAGCACTCAGTTTTGTGGGATCTATAAACATTGAATTGTTAGGACTGCATGCCATATGACAGTACAACTCGCGAAAATTTTTCCAACAACCAGGACAACGGGACATCATTTGCTGGGCGCTTTGTATACCAGATTGTAGGCTGACAAGTTGATCGTGATCACAGCACACTTTGCTGTTGGACAGTAAAAGTTCTGGGCATAATAGCGCTAGGATTTCACGAGATCCTGGATCGTCGACTGGCTTCGCTGGTCCGTTGTATAGACAGTTCATACATTTGTTCGTCAAAGGATTTATTCCACACTGTCCATACCACATACAATAGCCTTCTTTCCTGATAAAATGATCAGCCTATTCAAAGGAAAAAACTGATAAGAAAAAAATAATTTAAACTCCGTCGTGCCGACTGTCGGAGTAATAAACGTCATAATATGTCGGGACAAAGTGGAGAATTTAAAATGCACGTGAGAAAGAGGGTGCAGATGGGGTGGTGCCCAAAACAGTAAACATTAGATTCTTTAGTAGTTAACAGTAACAGTAAAAAAATTCACATAACAATAAAATTTTGTTAATTTCATGAAGACGTAAAAAAGCACTTAATTGCTCCCAGAATATAATGTTAAGTAGTAATACCCCCCACTCTGGAGTACAAAGGGATGCCGCCAATGACGTCACATTGCTTCGGAAGTAATTAGTATGCAAAACTATGACATTACTTTGCTGGGCAGGCCTGGGCCGAATGTGACAGGTAGCGCGACCAATTAACGCGGGCAGCCCTGGGCCAAATATGGTAGGCGATCAATTAGCATCACAACTAGTTTCTGACAAATTTGTAATAAAACGACAAGAGGTTTCTCATAGTTTGCATGTGTAAATGTATGAAATAGAAGTTAGTTTTTAAAATCTACTGTTAGCTCAGTTGGTAAAGCAAAGGATTGTAGTTATTACCAAATCAGTATTCCTTAGGTCACTGGTTCGAACCCGGTACGATAGAAAATTTTTTGCCTTACAACCATGTAGCAACGTTGTGAGTCCCTCTCTTATTTTCAACACGCAATTGAAATTCGTTTTAATTTTTTAATGAATTTGATGGCTCGTTTTGAGCAATAAGTTTCCAAACAGAAATAAAAAATATCGCAACAGAAATAAGCAGTTGCTAATCCCGGGTTGTCAAAGCCGTTGTTATGATCGCTATTTGCATGTTGTTCAACATTATTTAGCAAACCTACATACATATATACGGTCAAGATGACCGAGTCAGATAGAATACTCATATTGCAAAATGTCCCATATTTCTGGTAATGTTGAAGGAAAAAACCTGTAGAACAATTTAACAGTCTTAGTTGTAATATTTTTTGTCTATTATTTGTATCAATAAACATGTATTAAACTTTGCCGCGTTGTTATGCATTGCTAAGTCATTAGGAGGCGTGTAGGTAATTAAGGGGATTAAGGTAATACGAATTTGCATAACTAAGTGTTTCCGATGGATAGATAGGGATTATTTTTAACGCCGGTGTATACCTTAAAATCAGGCGCGTGGCTTTGCGGGTGCATGCATATATTAAAGTACAACATATTTGTACACGGATCTTTTCGCGCGGGCGGAAAGAGCGGGCTTTGCGGGCAAAAATTTGCACAATATTTCAGTTTTAGAATACATTTATTTCTTCAAAATGTTTTACAAAATTTAGTAAGGTCTACTTCTAAGAGCGTAACGTCTAGGTGTTTTTGTTATTTTTAAAGAGTTCTCATATTCTTGTCTATCTTCTGGGGATAACTTTGCAAGTTTTTCCGGCTTCATTGGAATATATTTTGGTCGGTCGCTCAATATAAAACGTTCATAATCCTCTCTTGCTTCCGGAGTCATTCGCACTAGGTCACGTTCGGTCCAATCTGCTGGGTCTTTTATTTGTCCATTTTTGGTGTGAACTCCACTCCACCCGTCTTGGTGTTAGACGTACCATACGAACATAGCTCGCAGAAACCAATGACATGTGAAAACAGTAGAGGTGACTGTTCATCACATATCATACATTGAGCGTCTTCGCCCCAGTAGAAATCTTTCCACGAACATCTTGGGCACTTCATTAAGTATACAATGTGACCAGTCTCTTCTCCACAATGGTTACAAGCTAGTTTCTCGGGCTCACCATCATTATCATCACCATCATCATCCTCCTCATTATCATCATCCTCATTATCATCATATTCGCTTTCATTATCACTCTTGTCAGATTCCCTGTTCTCTTTACCAGATTCGCTTTCAACATCACTCTCAGATTGTGGCATTTCATGTTCCTCCTTTGCTATTTTTGACAATAAATACTCGTTTTTAATTAAATCTTTATTAACCCCTACTTCTACTAGACCTTTTGTAAACAGGTTGAGCCCTTGTGGTTCAGGAATGTGAGAGTTGTATGGTAAAAGTGCGTATTGTAAAAAGTTCTCGATGTTAGTACCAGGAATGTCTCTTCCATGATAAACAATCTCACCCTGAGGATTCCAAGTTAAAATATCGCTTGATATAAGAATAGAATGTAGCATTTTTTCTGCTGTAGTTTTTTTGACATTATTGTTCAGATACAAAAGTATATCTTCAATGCGCCAATGTCGCGGAGATGTTTTACTCTCGATGTTCATTGTTGAAATGATGTATAATTTGTAGTCACAGGGCTTTTATACAACTTCAGCCAGGCTTTCCAAAATAGGACTTAGTAATAGTCCAAGGAAACCTTCACCATGCTGAATGAGTATCCGTTTTTTTCTTCTTCCACATTTTCCTCTATCTACCAACCTAAGCATTTCATGTTTGTAAGGTCGGAGTTTCTTCATTACATGTTTCGGCATTAAATATTTTCTTTTCATAACGTTTTCTACACAGAGACACAGGCAGTGTACTTGCTCGGCGGTTGCTGTTTCCAGTAGTGCTTGTTGTTGATCAGGCTCAGACGTGCCCAACAATTCAAGAAATGGCTTGTGCCTTAGAAGATTGATCATTTCTGTTCGACGGTTTGGAAGCAAATGAGTAAAACACAACAATAAGGAAGCTTATATCGGAAGAGAGAAAGCAATTTAGACAAGGCTCCGAGCCTAAGCAGCTCGGAGCTGACTCCGAGCCTAAGGAGCTGGCTCCGAGCCTAAGTAGCTGGCTCCGAGCCTAAGGAGCTGGCTCCGAGCCTAAGGAGCTCGGCTCCGAGCCTAAGGTGCTCTGCTCCGAGCCTAAGGTGCTCGGCTCCGAGCCTAAGCAGCTCGGCTCCGAGCCTAAGGAGCTTGGCTCCGAGGCTAAGGTACTCGGCTCCGAGCCTGAGGAGCTGGCTCCGAGCCTAAGGAGCTCGGCTCCGAGGCTAAGGTACTCGGCTCCGAGTCTGACGAGCTGGCTCCGAGCCTTAGGAGCTGCTCCGAGCCTAAGGAGCTGGCTCCGAGCCTAAGGAGCTCCGAGCCTAAGGAGCTTGGGTCCGAGACTAGGGAGTTGGCTAAGAGATACTAGTTATATAAACTCGGTTTCTATTTGAGAGATTTATTATCTAACTATTCGTCATAGAGTAAACATGTCTCATTCATGTCATATCTGTGGGAAATATTTCTCTAAACCGTTCAATTTAAATCGACACAAACAAAAAGTGCATGATCAAAAACCAACCGACAACATTCGCATGACGACTAATGGATCTGTAGTTTTGCAACACCCATTTACGTGCATCGTAGCTGGGTGTACCCAAAGCGGCAAAACTGTATGGGTAAAATCTCTCTTGGAGAATGCACAGAAAACTATAAGTCCTGCTCCTCAACGTATCATTTGGTGTTATGGTCAATGGCAACCCTCCTATTTTGATATGATGAGAACGATGCCAGGAATCGAGTTTAATCAAGGCATCCCCGAAGACATCGACAACGCAGATTACTTGGACGTATCGCAACGGAATTTGATCGTATTGGACGACCTTATGGCTCAATCTGGCAAAGATAAACGTATTTCTGATCTTTTTACGAAAGGAAGTCATCATCGGAATTTATCTATCATCTATATTGTTCAAAATATATTTCATCAAGGCAAAGAAATGAGAAATATTAGCCTAAACGCCCATTATATCGTGTTGTTCAAGTCACCAAGAGATAAACAACAAATTTCTATGCTTGCAAGGCAAATAAATCCCGGAAAAGTACAAGAATTTATGAGGAGTTATGAAGATGCTACGAGCCGACCTCACGGGTATTTGATGTTGGATTTAAAGCCAACAACAGATGATCAACAACGACTCAAGACCAACATACTTCCCGGTGAGATTGAAAGTTTATACAAAAACAGTCGTATCGACAACCACCACTTGTAAATGCCATGTATGATGCCGAGCAGCGAATGAAAGAAATCATGGATGCACCACAGCTTAGCGCAGTGGAAAAAAGCAAATTATATTCTGATCAACTAAATCGGTTTCTCACATTCAAAAATAAGATGGATGTCCCAGCTCAAGCTCCTGTTCAGACCACTCCACTAGTGCCTGCAGAAATACCACCACCCAATGAATTTGCTGGGATGGTACCACCAGTGCCTGCTACGCCTAAACCTAATTTCCTTACACCACCACCAACAGGAGAGGAACGGCCAAAACTCAAGCGCAATTTTTTTCACAATTGGGTTGACCCAGCAGATTGGACCGAACGTGACCTAGCGCGAATGACTCCGGAAGCAAGAGAGGATTATGAACGTTTTATATTGAGCGATCGACCGAAGTATATTCCAATGAAGCCGGAAAAACTTGCAAAGTTATCCCCAGAAGATAGACAAGAATATTAGAACTCTTTAAAAATAACAAAAACACCTAGACGTTACGCTTTTAGAAGTAGACCTCACTAAATTTTGTAAAACATTTTGAAGAAATAAATGTATTCTAAAACTGAAATATTGTGCAAATTTTTGCCCGCAAAGCCCGCTCTTTCCGCCCGCGCGAAAAGATCCGTGTACAAATATGTTGTACTTTAATATATGCATGTACCCGCAAAGCCACGCGCCTGATTTTAAGGTATACACCTGCGTTAAAAATAATCCCTATCTATCCATCGGGATACACTTAGTTATGCAAATTCGTATTACCTTAATCCCCTTAATTACCTACACACCTCCTAATGACTTAGCAACGCATAACAACGCAACATTTGCAAAGTTTAAAACATGTTTATTGATACAAATAACAGACGATAGTGTCAAAAAATATTACAACTGTTCTAATTCTAACTTCTACTCTTGATAAGCTTTCTTATGATCATCTTAACAGTATATATGTATGTAGGAGGATTGCTAAATAATCTTGAACAACATGCAAATATTGACCATAACAACGACGTTGACAACTCGGGATTGGGAACTGTTTAGTTTAAAATATGTCTTGATTTTTG